TCCGTGCTGCGCGGCGGCGTGTGTGTGTGCGTGCAGTGTTGTTTACGCATGTTTGTTGTTTACCATCGTTTGTTGTTTACCGTATAGCCTGCATCCGTCAGTGCAACGTCCATCCTGACCGGAGAATATGACCATCGTGAGATATCTAAAAGGCTGAGTTACGATTCGTACGAGCGCTGGAATGCATCAAGAAATGCTTCATTTCGGCACTGAAGCCGCATTAGAATCCAAAGGTAGGTTTCCCACTTTTGGTAGAGGGTAACTACGATGTTCCAGTGTATATAGTATATTATATATATATGAAATATCGGGCGTATATTAAATAATATATATATATATATTATATATATATATAAAGGCAGAATAACAGTTCTGAAATTGACAGCAGAATCGTGCGAAGACTTGCTGGGGAAAATAATTTTATCGGCTATAGAATGTGATATCTAATAGTTACGCTTTCGCTCATTTTAATACTGAATTTCAGCGTTAGAAACATTGTAAAATCGGCTGATTTTATTGCTCCGTGGGTTCTATATATCTCTAGCTTTTACTTAACTTTAATCTCATATTTAACTAGATATTTGCTGTCCATGTACTAATGAGTGTTGCGATGTATATAATGCCTTTCTAAGAGCTATTCTATCGGCTGACAATCTCCGCATCATCTTCTCTGACGTGCCTCTGTGTGCTAGAAGTAAGCAGGTATGAACACAAGACCCGTCCTTCTATCTACGTCCTCTTCTCTATTGTATTCTTTCATGTATTTTCTATTATTATCATGATTCTATTTTCTACTGGTTAATGCGTGCATGGAAAAGTGATATCGTATTTCGTCGCACTGTCGCAACAGAAACCCAGGAGTATAAACGCATGCCTTAAGATATAAACTTAGATATACGATATAACTTAGATATCGTCATTACTGGCGAATACATTACCGATCCCGCGTAGACAACAAACAGCGTAAAATGAAATACAAACGGTCGTGAGCAGTTTGCGCCTGTATGATGTTGGTACAATTTTTATACAACGACTGAGATTGTGCAAAGATGTTAGATGATATTTTTATACCGCAACTGGGATTCGCTCTCCTTGGTAGGGAGTTGGTGACTCGCTGCGTGGACAGGGTGGAGGCGTGGACACCTCGACAGTGCGAGGCGGACATTCTCGTCAAGTTCTGCACTAGGTGAGTTGATCGTGTTTCTGCTACTGATGGCATGTAGCTTAAGATATTTTTCTCATTCGCCCCAAGTAGGATTCGCATGAAGCACTAATGAATGTACGCATCATTGAGTTGTGTGTATAATAAGTATTACTATATACGGTTCATTTACCCTTTTGCCGTAGCAATCCCCGCCACAATTCCTTGTCGTATGCGCTTAAATTCTACATTGGAATTGCCTGTTCACATTTGCTGTCGAGTTGCCAGCCCACGATAATATTATTCGGCCAAACTTACGCGCCTACAATCAATTGCAAGGGATTGCCTCTGAAGAGATGTGCATGTAAAATTCTCTCCACATGTTATACGATTCAATGATGCGAAGCTACGCGCCGCTTGCGCCCTATTTTTAAATATTCATCGAATTTTATGGCGAACCTCACCCAAAGAGTGTAACCCAGAAAACTTAACATATATGTAACAGGGAGGACGTTGTCAGAAAAAAATCACGAGTGGTTATAATTATAGCTATCACACAGAGTCAAAAATGTCATATATTTTGCAGAACACGTCACAAAATATCGTGACAGATGTAATGATATGCTAGACGTATGATGTCAAAACTTTTCTGTTAACGGACGCCAGCTCCCTGAACCCTTCATTCATTCTCATATAAGTGCATAACACGGGTTATTTCTTCACGTGAAGTATAACCCGTGTTATTCCTTCTCGAATTGATTCGACTATTGCTTAAATAGCACATCCGGGTCCGTATGTTAACAGAAAGCTACACGACTAACTGTTTACCCATATTAAACGTATAAGTGAAATGAATTCTTTTCTTCTTGTGCACGCACTAAGGATATCGATATAGTATAGGACCGATATTATATATATATACATAAGAAACGAGATAAATGTTATTAATCAAGTACATAACCACTAAGAATGCAATTTGCATAAGTTCGATTACCGTGAATAAAAACTCGCTTAACATACGGCACTTACTAAATTGCTTTTTTATTTAATTTTACACTTTATAGACTAACGAACGGCTGAAGGGAAAAGAAATCCTATCCAGGATCGAGACAGCTATTATTGGATGCCCCGTAGGTTCAATTAAAATATTTTTGAAATATGAATAAGTATGAACAAGCGACGACGGCTGTATATTTTCTTTTATAAGTTCGATGTCTCTGTTTGTTTGTTTGGTTGTTTGTTTGTTTGTTTCTGTGTGTGTTTGTGTTTGTTTGTGTGTGTGCGTGCGTGTTTGTTTGTTTATTTTTGTATGTGCATGTGTCTGCGTACGTGCGTGCATGTGTGCGTGCGTTTGTGCATGCATGTGCGTGCGCGTGTGTGTGTGTCTGTATAGCTATGTATGGTTTATTATTGACAGAGTTTAGCGGAGAACAGCCGTTATTTCATTCTGCATGCAGATGTGACCTCTCTCTTGAACCCCCATCCAGATTCCCTGCAACCAGAAAAAAGGTATGAATTCATGTACGCCATTAGTTCCAGATATTACTAGAATGGGAATGATGAACAAAAGAAGAGAGAGTTGTATGGAGGAGATGTATAGCTCGATGTATAATGATAATGTTTATTATAATGCGGCTATGACGACAACGATGACAATAGTGATTACAGCAGTGTTGTGTTACCTATGCAGGATCTATCGACACGATTCGGATCTGCGTCTGTATCTCTTCAACGACGCGCTGGTGATCGCATGCCGGCAGACTCGCTACAAAGCCTACTCACCGGTGGTGCAAACCTCCTACAGATTCCAGACCTGCGTCGACCTGTCTTCACTAAGCATTGAAGATGTTGACGATGAATATGGTAAGATAGGAAATGATGGTGAAGGGATGTGGTAGGATAGGAAATAATGGCGAAGGGATGTGGTAGGATAGGAAATAATGTAGGAATATATGAAATAAGGGAGTACGATGAGGCCAAATATTTTCTGTGTGTAGGTGCTAGACGATTTGCACTAGAAATGGTAGTTGCGATATTTTTTACAATTATGTTCAAGCTGCTATAATTATACTATAATTGTACTTTAAAATTTATGCTTTGCAGGTAGGAAGAATATATTTAAGCTCGCCGGACCGCTTGCCACGTGGATATGCGCGACAGAACGTTACGAAAGCAAGATGACATTTCTCTCAGCCGTGAGGGTCGCACTATCAGCTGCTCTCCTGCCTTAAATTCTTATATCTGTGTGGACTCATTTATTCGGAATGCCATTCTGAAGCCATGTCATCCGCTATTCCTAACAGTTTTCATGTTACAGGAAGAGGTGTTAGCTTTTTGATCGAGGCTGTAAGCAGAAGATCTCATTGGTTAGTCGTACATGACGTATGTACCCACGTGACGTGATTTCAAGGTCGCTGTTTGATCGATGCCGCTGTAAAAAATAAATTTCGAACTTGTTCTCTTTTAGTACGCTTCGTTACTCGCTTGAATATTCGTTAGGGTTAGGGTGTAAATGGCTTTAGGTGGCTTAAATGGTTTTGTTTTTTTTTGGTTTATGGCTAATTTCTTAATTAGCGACATTAATTAGCTAAATTTAGAAGGAAGCTGTGATGAAGATAGCAGAAGGCGTTGCCACCACAGTACAGCAAAAAGCAAACCGTGTCTCATACTAACACATTGGCTGCACCAGCATATACCTGTAACAGCAAGGCATCACATGTTTATGTTTATGCTTATCACATTTTAAAGTTTAATAAGCAGTGCAATAAACCGTCTGCGCGAATCCCGCTATAAATAAATCACAGCGTAAAAGCATCCGACATTGAACTGGCTGTAAAACAAGAATATAATTATAGAAACAAATTCTAATGGAAAGTTTTGTTCTCGCATTAATTATGGACCGCTCGCACGTGCGCAGGTGCGTACTTATAATGAAGTGTAAGCGGTATAGTCTGGCATTGTTTATTCTATAGCCAGCCTCACCAGTCATCGTGTGACAGTAGATGTCGGTGTGTAATTGTTCACTGTCGCGAGTAAATAGTCGAGTTGATTTGGAGTGGCCACCAGCGGGATATTGCTAAGTGATCGACAATGTCTGAGATCATCACGATTCAACTAGGCCAGTGTGGAAACCAACTAGGATTGAAGGTAAATATAGTAAATGTAGTTGTATCCTTCTCTCTCTCTCTCTCTCTGTCTCTCTCTCTCTCTCTCGCTCTTTCTCTCTCTCTCTCTAGGGTCAGGTTTACGGTTTAGGTTTATGGATAGTTGATGTTCATTTTACATTGTTGCTTCGAGGAAGTCGAGTGAATGGAGAACTCAGAGTGGGGAACAAAAATTTGCAGGCGGCGTGCGGTTTACTTGTGTGTTGCAGATGAGCATTTGACCGGCATTTAGAAGTAGAGTAGAGAAACATTAAGACTTGGTACATTTCGTGTTATTTACCATTAATTTTTTTTATTGAGACGTTCCAAGTGCCTGTGACTCTGGCTGGCATCTGGTGAGATGATTAAGCGAACATAACGCCACAGTTATCCTTCTAAAAAAGCAAGCCTCCAAGCCAAAACAAAAGCCTTCTAAGTTCTTTCTGAAATTAAGTTTTCTTAGCCTCAAGTAGGAGGTCGTGTCGGACAGCACGCTTGCTTCGTGAGTTGATTGAGAATCCTTGTAAGGAAGGCGTTTCCACGCCCAGCATTCGCATTGCGACCAGAATACAGCGACTCGTTGTCCAGACACAACCGTGAAGTCGAAAACTCCGTCAGGTGGCGCAGCGATAGAACCGTGTTGTATAAGCTCGATGACGGTCCTCGGGTTTCGGAAATCTTTAAGCGAACATGAACAAATGAATTTGGCTTATTAATTCGAGTTCGGGCAAACTTATGCGAAAACGTAAGATATTCACAGTGATTCATGGTATTAGAGAAGGAGTAGACAATACAGTGCCCTGAGGAAAAAATCCAGTAATCAGTTAACAATAATTCAAATAATAACTTACGATTGCTAATAATGATCAGGAGTGATAATCCCACAAAATGTGTGCATTATTTAGGCCCTGCTAACGTCTATGTTAGTCCAATAGACTTGTGAATGATGAGATTAAATGGACTCGATTGATGAATGATAGCACACATAAAAAATAATAGAATCTTGTCAATACTATAGGCATGTTGTTTTCGCGTGCGCTTGTGTATACGGGTGTGTGCCGCGCCGCGTGTGTACGTGTGTGTGTGCGTGTGCTAATACATGTGTGTGCGCGGGGTGTATGCGGTGATGTGGGTGTGTGATACGTGTGTGTGCGCGCTGTGTATACGTGTATGCGCGCGCGTGTGTGTGATACGTGTGTGTGTGTGTGTGTGTGTGTGTGTGTGTTGTGTGTGTGTGTGTGTGTGTGTGTGTATTACGTGTGTGTGTGTGTGTGCTGTGTGTGGTGTGTTGTGTTAGTGTGTGTGTGTGTGTGTGTGTGTGTTGGGTGTGTGTGCCGCGCGCGCGAGCTGCGCCGCGCCGGGGAGTGTGTATACCGCGTGTGTGGCGCGCACGTGTGTGTATCTGTGAATGAGCTTAATTCTTACCCTTTGCGAAGGAAATACTGATGATGTCATGTTTATCTGCTTCGGATATTCATCTTTTAGTTTCTTCAGAGCGCGAGATCCCATACCAGCTCCCGTGCTCCGCCAAGAAGCATGCATTAGGCTGAAACCCCTACGAGAGCGAGGAAAAAGACATAGCATTACCGATCACTGTTTCCCGCCACAATAAACGCATCTAAGGTATATATATTATATATTACTTATATATAAATACTCCATATCAGAGAAACGGAAAAGGGTGCAGCTCTATCGAAGAATACCGGGTTTATGACAAATAACTCGGTAATGCGTCTGCGATCCTGCGTTAAAACACCTGCGTTTTGAAATACCGCAGTGTGCGTTTCGAAGTACATTTCGACGCTATAATGAATTACAGCTAAGAGAATAATTAAGTTCTCAAGGTTATTAGATTTATTATTATTATTATTATTATTATTATCATTATTATAATTATTGTTATTAGTTATTAGATTATAAATTAATTGCTGTGTAAGTAGGGCATGGTCACGTTCGTGCTTAGCAAGGAGCTAAATATAACAAGGAGAGGAAGCGGATTGGCTGTGTGCTTTTTTAGGGCGCCATCTATGGACCATAATCAGCTGAAACGGCTGTGCATACGACCGCCAGATACAATAGAACACTAATCTTGTTCTAGGGTCTCTGCCGAACCCCAAATTTGGGCGCGATATGGCGGCGCTTCCCTCTCGCTATGTTATAGTTAGCTCCTTGGTGTGCTTAAGATGTGGGCTGGATAGCGGCTTCCACACAAAGACGTCGTCTCGGCTTGACAATGTGAGCCGCCGTGACGGAACCCGTATCTCGATCAACGCTGTCAGAAATTACTACATTATCTATTACTTATTCTACAAACACGTTTTAGCAATCACAAATGGCATGTGTACGCGCGTGAGTGCGTTAATGTGTGCGCGCATACGTGGCATGAGTCGGTGCGTGCGTGTATACGTATCTGTGCGGTCGTGTGTGCATAGGAATGTGCGTGCGTGCGTGCGTGCGTAGCGTGCGTGCGAACATATTAACGCACATCTGCAGCCTGTCGCATTTCTCTGCAATCTTACGCACATACTCGAGGACGGTTTCGCTCATTCGACTCTCCTTCTCATAGTATGCCTTCGCCCACACTCCCGAACTTCCGCCTTCCCACTCTCCTGAAATGCATAAAGATTTTGCTGATATTGCTCATAGCCGTAAACAACAACTGTAAGATTATTGTGACATGCGTTCTAACGTGCCTAATAGGTGGCGCCAACTACTTCCCTGAAGCCAGTGTTAGACACCAACATATAGCAGCCTGCACTAAACAGGAATAAATTCGTTGTTCTTATTATATAGTAAACGTTGATTCTTCAGTCTTTACTTTGGAAATACAACACCAACACGGAGAAAATAAGAAACTCTCACAACCTCATAGTAGTAAACTCTCATTGAACGGCTCTGATAATCAATAGTTAGTTTAGGCTCTAGTAATAAGAAAACCCATACGAGTTGTGGGGCGTGTCGATATGTTAATCACTATTAATCAATCAAATAATTAATAGTAATTAATAATTTATTACAATAAATAATATTTAATATTTTATTATCAAATAATAATTAGCAGCGTTGGCTAATTGATCTGCTATCCATCACATTGATCAAAATCGTTTGACGCGTGAGTCCCACCGTGGATTGAGGATTGTATGGGGATGGTACGGTACTTTATGACACT